GGCTGATTCCATTCCATAAAGCGAATCAGATAAGTTGCATTTGGTCGAATAAATATTAGCTTTAGAGATAAGATTCTTGAATGGTTACTTTTACTTTCCATATATCCAAGAAAATTTTGCCAACGAAAAAGTGTGTTCGTGGTTACAAAATTCCCAATGACCACTCCACACAAAAAAAAAAGCTGTAAATGCCAATCCGCAGCTTCCAGAAGTTGAATCTAAATTATTATTACCTTTTATGGAAAAAGAACTGTGAACAATGGCTAAATTTGTATGCCATCCCCGTGAAATGAATCGCTGCACCGTGTTATTGATTTTTAGATTGCAAATGACAGAGCAGCCATGACCGTGGTAGTGTGATATGAAGCCAAAGATTTTGTCTGGAGATAGTGCTCCACGTGAAAGATGCTAAGCTTCCCTCTTTTTCTTCTTTTTTTCTTCTTTGTGTGCGCCATGTGTAAGCCCTTGAATGGAACCACACATCCAGGCGACAACACCCCTCGACTTTATATAGTTTGAGGATGATGCAATCCAAAAGACTTGTGATATTTCCAAAAGTTTAACAAAACAGAAATCCCGACACTTTGATATTAGCCCAAGTTCAAATCCCGACAAAAGCTTCGGCATCGATCTATCGTAGTCTAGTTGCTGAATCGATCGATCGATGCCATGTTGAACCCTCATAGTTCTTGCCATGTTGGAGAATGGTGTTCTTGCCATGTTGATTCTAGAGCAGTCCTTTTCTTATCCCTCAAAAACTTCAATAGACTTCCTCTAGTGTATAACAATTTTTTTTCTTTTGCATGGCAAGAAGAACACAGATAGCTGGGAGGACGAAATTTGAGAAAGGAATGGAGAGAGCGAGCGAGAGAGAGAGGGAAGAAAAGAGAAAAAATTTCTCAAATACACCAAAGTCTCTCCCGTCACCTTCGCAAGGATGAGCTTAGATCCACCACCACCACACTGATGTTGTCAGTGCTGCCTTTGGCAATCGCGACCTTGGTCAGTAATCCAGCAGCCATGTCTGCGGCACTCTCGCCGCCCTGCCGAGCTCGATGCCTAACGAGACACTTCCGTGCAATGTCACACGCCACCTCGTTGGTGAGCACGTCCCACAGGCCGTCGCTGGCCAATATCAGGCACTCGTCCTCCGAACTTCTCTCTGTACAAGTAACGTCCGGCTCTGGGATTATAAACGGCTTGAGGTATCTATCACCTGTGATGAAAACAAGATTAATAAAATGTGTCGAGTAACTCCGAGACAACGAGAAAAAACACACAAAGGCTGCTGCATAACGTACCAATTGCTCTCGACATTGCCAGAACTCCTAAGACTCTATAACCGTTCCAAAAAAACACCCTCCCTCCGGCAGCCTCAACTCGGGCCAGCTCGTCCTCTCGATCTGGCTGCAAAACAAAACAAGCGCATACAAAATCAGAACAAAATCAAAGCAAGAAGAAGAAGAAAACTCACTTTGTGGTCCACGGAGAGAGGAATGGCTCGCCCCCCTCTCGAAAGGACGGCCCTCGAGTCACCACAGTTGGCGACGATGATCCGGTTTGGTCCCAGCACGGCTACCACAGCAGTCGAGCCGACTGTCTCGGGAGCTATGAATGGAGAAGCCGACGGACTCAAATTGCCCTCGAGGAAGCCTCCCACCTGCGCATCCACTTTCAGAAAGCTCGCCACCATTGCTCTCTGAAGATGTGCCTCCAGCTCTCTGTCACCCATGCCTGGCAAAACGCCACTAAACTCTTCCTCGAGGACGCGATGCATTTGCTCCTTGCAGAAGCCAGCAACCTGAAAGAAGCAAGGTATTACGAGGAAACAACGAGGAACAGTATAGTCAAAGCAAATAGTTGGTTACCTGAGGCCCGCCATGGCCGTCATAGACTCCGAAGAAGTGTAACGTGGACATGCCAACGTCCGAGGAAGGCAGCGTGGCACCTTTACACTCGCAGCCTCCAACAGTACCGCACGGCACCGTCATAAAGGAGGGCACTACCGCGACGGCATCCTCCATCTCCCGGCGCCTGCCACATATGAATACGGCTCCATGCGGGGGACACGTATCGCTGGCGATGCAGCGGGTGCTCCTGTTGCAACCAGTGCCCGAAACAGCCATCCCGTCCAGGAGCTGCATTGCCGCTGGCAAATCCTTGGAAGAACCATCGACCGTCTCTTCCTCGCTACTCTCTGGAGTCGAGTTTGAAGTTCTTCCGCCGGCACCAGCGGTCGTGACCGTGGAAACTCCCGTCCCACTACTATTACTGCTATCACTACCAAAACTAAAGCTAGGAGCGCTGATCGATCCGGAGAAGCTGTGCTCGTCACCACCACCACCAGCATCGCCACCGCTTCCTTGCCACCCGTTGGAAAGCCCATGCTTGTCCATGCTCTGGTGGCAAGACACCGTGATGGTAAAGTTGGTCGTGGCCGCCGCCGGAGAAGACCTCTTGGATGGCAAAGAGGAGCGGCCGTTCGGAGAGGATGATCGAGGCCTCTTGTGCACAGGCTCTGGGAACACCAAATTCGTCTTGGTGGCGACCACCCGGAACCTCCTGATCTCGGCGCGTCTACGGCGTGCTACAGCCCCTGGAGAGCCACGGATCTTGAGCGAGCGGGGAGGCGTCGTCGTCGTCGTCGTCCCCGCCGTGTCCAAAGAATCCATAATCTAGAGCAACGCAAGCCCCTGCCCTGCCCGATCTGGCCGATGAATGCGAGAATTCCTCCCCTAGGACCGTGAATCTAGGAGTGAACGTACCGTAGCGAGAATAGAGGCGATCCCTATGACGATCAGGTCACACGCCGCTCCTCCCACCACATGAATCCACACCAGAGGCCGCAGCACAGGAGATTTAGGCGCTGCTTGCCTTCCTCGCCCGCCATTGGCACCAGGAACGCGCGTCACTCATGAGTCCTCTGCCCTTTTTCTTTCGCGCCTCGACGCCCTCGCTCTCTTCTCTCACCCCCGGGCAGGGCTGGGCAGCCCTCTCGGGCAGGCGGGCAGCCCCTCCATGCCCCACAAGCGGACACCTGTGTGTACTCTCCAATGCAATGTGGGCTCTTCTCGTTGGTCCACGAGGCGTGCTACGGGCCCACTGTTGCGCGGGCGCCACGTGTTGACACCATTAATTTCACTTCAAAATAGGGTACAATATATTAGGGCTTACGTGTGACGTGTTTTAAGCGTATGCCCTAAAATTCGCCATGGAGTTCGTGGGGCCGGAAGGCTTGCGCCTCGATGGGCGGCGGCCGCTGGAGGTAGGGACGGCGGCGGCGCCATTCGCTGCAAGCGTTGATTGATGTGATGGATCGCAGATGCGGCAGCTCCACGCGGAGCTCGGCGTTGTGGAGAATGCGAATGGGTGAGCTGGAGTTTCTGGTGTTCTTGACTCTGGCGATTACACGCAGATCGGCAATGTTTGAGATGGGGAACACGAAGGTGATTGCTGCTGTTTATGGTCCTCACGAGGTAATCTTTCTCTCCCTCTCTGCGGAAGCGATGCAAGCGAATGGATTTTCTATTAGGTCCATAATCGCTCACAGCAGCTTTGGGATCGGGCTCTTGTAAGATCTTTTGCTCTTCGTTTTGTTGTTCGTTTCTTCTTTTTCTAAACGAGAAAGGAAAACTATAGGTACGATGCGAATATAGCATGGCCGCATTCAGCACTGGCGATCGCCGAAGGAAAGGCAAAGGAAACAGGTATGGTTTCCACTCGAGATAAATCCCGCAAGACTCGTTTTTCTCTTTTCTTGGATAGGCGCTCCACAGAGATATCACTGGTCATCCGGCAGACCCTAGAAGCGGCAATTCTTACGAATCTAATGCCCAAATCACAGGTACGCGGCTGCACTGATGTTTAAGTTTTCTCACCACTGTTCTACTAGATCGATATCTATGTTCAAGTTCTCCAGGCCGATGGAGGTAAGGATGTCTAAATCTCTGGAGATCGTTTCCAAATAATTTGCTTTTCTTGTTTTGAAGGCACACGATCAGCATGTATCAATGCAGCAGCACTGGCTTTAGCGGAAGCAGGCATTCCAATGCGGGATCTCGTTGCATCCTGCGCTGCCGGTTACCTCAATGGAACGCCTTTGCTGGGTAACAAGCTTCTCTCTTCTTTGTGGCTTTTTGCTAGTTACTCTTGGTTTAGATCTGAATTACGTCGAGGACAGTGGTGGTGGCCCGGACGTGACTGTGGCATTGTTCCCCAAGGTGGACAAAGTCTCGTTACTGCAAATGGATTCTAAGCTGCCTCTGGAACACTTTGAGAACGTCTTCCAACTTGCGGCGGAGGGAGCGAAAGCTGCAGCGCGGTACATGCGTGAGGTAACACGATTTTCTTCCCTCCTCTCATCTAACGAGCTCTCTGTTCCAGGTGTTGATGGAGAATACGCAGAACCTTGCCAGGCTCGTCACTGCAACGTAAACTTAGTTAAAGATTAGGAATATACCTAGAGTCTTAAGTGTATTCTGGAATATCTTCACGAACTTTCTCTAATTTGTAGTCAAGTTTAATTCTAAATTTCCTACTATTTTCTTCTCATCTCCTAGACTGATCACGAAATGAATTATTGGAAAGGTTAGCTCAAGGGAAAAATATAAAATAATATAAAACTTCCACTTTAAGACAGCTTATGCATCAATCAGCTTTATAGTAATAATTTAGAAACTCTAGGATTTTAAAGATATATCATATTGTAAGAGCAATCTGGAAGTCTGCTGTTAAAACTTACAAAGATATAAAGAGGGCTTCCATTTGAGATTATTAATATTGTATTTTCTCAAGGTTTTATTTAGGCTTCTAATATTATATTGCTAAAGGATTTATTTGGGATTTTAATTTCCAATAGTTGGTTTGATTTGGGACTTTAATTTAGAATAAGCTTAAAGTTACTATGATTGAATAGTTTTTAAAATTCTTTTTGGTTGAAAAATTATTGAAAGTCAGATTAGAAAGTATATTTGTGATGCAGATATTGCATTTTTGCAACCCCAAACAATTTTATCTATATAAACGATTTAAAGATGGATTAAAGTTAATAACAATATTAATACTGAAACTTTTTGACTCATTGAGTTAAGCCAATAAGGAATTTTTTTTTAATATAAATAAAAATCTTAGATATATTTATGAGTATAAGACTTTGGAGAAATTAATAAAGTTATAATTAACTTATTACCTGCATCAATATATAATTTTAATTGAATTATTTAAAATAATACATGAAGTATATAAGTTTTAAGCTAAATTTATTTTCTTGATTTTTTATCAATTAATTTTAGCTAAATAACACTTTAGTAGTATCATGTTGGACAACTTTTTCAAATATTAATAAGATTTTTAGATTTGGAATTTTATTTATAGATTTTTTCTTAAGTCATTCTCTTTGGTTGTTTACAATCCACCACACTCAACTAACCTAGTACTAAATGTTTTCTTTTTTTTAATCTAAATTTTATTTTTAGCCAAATAAAACTTTAATAGTATCACATTGACTAAATTTTTCAAATACTAACAAGATTTTTAGATTTAGGCTTTTGTTCATAGCCCTTTCCTTTTAAATTTGAACCCTTATAGATCATATATCAGATTTGAGTAGTAATGGGCCCAATATTATTCAAACTGTGAGTGCATGGAATATAGAAAGGGAATACAGAAAATGTGTATATCAATTAACCCAAAAACCCTAGTTTATATACAAAAGCAAGTGGTTCAGATTGAAACCAATCTAACGACTGCCAAAATCCCACTTCGCTAATATTAATATACAACATTGTAGCTATACACCTGGCCTTCACATCATCCCCTCCTCTCGGAATAATGGAAGACTATCAAGGTTCTCTTGTAGATGGGCCGGGATCTGGAGGAACATTAGGAGGAGGCATTGGCAGATTTGTAAGTGGTATTAACTGTTCTTGATCCCTTTGTATAAAGCATTTTAATCACTGCACATGCACAATCTTTGGAGGATCATCTTACTGAATGTCATACTGGTGGTTCCTATCCTACAATACTAGTTTATTGGATGATAACTTACTTTGAAATACCTTATTGTTCTAATCTAAGATTTAATCACTGATAATTAAGTCTCTTAGATATTATTGTTTATGACTTTGATATTGTCCATCTATTGATCTTTGAGTTTGAACCTCATAAACTTGTGGTCCAACTTGCTGCAACATTCGATACGGTCCTTTCCACTAAGTAAGGAGCTCCTTAAATAAACCACATACCGCAAGATAGGGAAAACAAACTAACACTAAGTCATTCACTTTGTACTCCGCAGGTGGACGATGATGAGAATTGTAGTGCCATTGTTGTCCCACTTGTATGCGGCCTAAGTGTTTAGCAGATCTGCTTGGACAAGTGGAAGAATGCTCATCAAATACTAATCCCATGATCTAGTATTGGCAGTTCATAGCAATCGCAAAGGTAAACTCAGCTTCATTGGTAATTTTGGATCATGATCATATAGGAGTTTATTTGGTGAAGCACCAATAGAACTCTGCACCTCTGTGACATATATATACCGAAGAGACGGCAAATAACCATCCCAATCTGAATGCTGAAAGTTCACATACTTTGCAATTATCTCTTTGAACGTTTGAACAAACCATTCTATGAAACTGTTTGATTGTGGATGATAAGCACTCGTGAAAGTGTGGCGTATCCCCAACTAAAACGTCAAAACATGAAATGCCTCAACCATAAATGCGAGACCATTATCTGAAAGAATTCACTCTGGACAAGAATGTTAAAACACTACTCGATTGAGGAGGAAATATCCAACAGTCATTGCAGAAGCACTAACAAGAGCACCAACTTCCTATAAGCCATAAATTTTTCCTTTCCAATTTGCCAACTTACCTTATCTATCTGACCAACACTGCCTTGGCTTTTGCTAAGTTCTCTTGCCAAGGTTCCTGTTTATTGTACCAGCTCCTACTTGGTTTTACTTGGTTTTAGCTATTCACTGCACGAGCAACAGAATGTTAGCCATCCATCTACAGATTCCTAAATCTTTCCCAATCCCCTTCCCCAAGTTAGACTGGACTTAATGTTTGGTTACATTCCCCGTATGCACAAGCAGCCAAGCACACTAAGCTTCTAGGTTCCTAACATCCCTTGGTACAATAAAACTTGATCATGGGACCCTCTAAATCCCAAGCCTTGAGTGCAACACTTGCTTCAGGACACCGGAAAAAGGGGTGCACTCTTATTCATGGGCCCTTTCCCTTTATAATTGAACCCTTATAAATTGTCTCTCGAGTCATTCCCTTTGGTTGTTTATATTTTCCATTTTTCTTTTGAGAGTATTATCAAGACGTTCATTTAACATTAGTTCATCTAGTATTTACTTTCAAAGCTTGTTTTTATAACAAGCAATTTTCTATTATTCTCTCTGTGTTAGTTGATATAAGCTCAAGCTTATCTTTTATTGCTTGGCATATTGCCACATATTATTGTCTATATTTGTGTTGTACCTTAGAGTTAGTTTTCATTCTTTATGGTAATGGCCATTTACATGCATGTGCATGGGATGAAGCAGATCTAGTTATGCATATGGGTGATCTCAAGCTTGAGTTACAATCATTAGTCAAGATTTTCATTTTATCCTTAGTATAGATTAGTGTAAACTCAGGAGCTTACATTAATGTAAGCTCCAAAGAGAACGACTTGAGAGACGGTCCATGGGGTTCAAATATAGAGGGAAAGGGCCCATGAATAAGAGTGCACCCCCTTTTCCAATTGGTTAAGGGTCTTGGGATATTTGGGGTTAAGCGTCCTTGGGTTTGAATAGTACTGGGCTGGGTGACCTCCCGGGAAGTCCAAACTCAGGAGCTTACATTTGGTATCAGAGGGGGTCTCGGGTCCGACTCTGTTGGTTGGCTAGGGGAATCACACCACATGTTGATTGACATCTGGCTGGTCCAGTTTGCTCCCGCTGGGCTCGACCCGAGGGGTAGGGTGTCAAGAGAGCGGGGCTCTCGGGAGAGCTGCGG